TGTGTATATATAATTTTGAAATGGAACAGAAGAAATTGTCACATCAACAAAACGAAAGAAGCCTTCTAATACAAGGCGTTTCTTGGTGTAAATTGTGACTGAGTTTTGCATGATAAATGTGTTTTCACAGGTTATCTGGACATCACCCCCACCTCCCATAAAATTGCAAAAGAAACTTACAGGGCAAGATCATGTCAGGTGCCAAGATATTTTTCTGCTCTTCAAAACCACTTCAATATTTATGCCTAAATGCTCACTAAATCTGGGCTAAGATGATAGAAATCGAGTTATCCTAGGATCAAGCTCACTAGAATTAATAGTTTCAAATGTCAAGTTCCTTCAGAAGAACCTCAAAGCCCAATAAACAATGAACCAAACTAATTCTGAGTTTTCATAAAATTTCTCAAAAGTTTAAGTCTGAAGGGAGCTAATGGTATCTCCCTGAAACTATGTAGGAAGGAGAAAACAAATTCTACTTCTTAAACTACTGTATATTTTTTCAGTATGTTTAGAGGTTTTTGTGTTGTTTGTGCATGTGGCTATCTATATATAAACTTCTAAAGAGTCATTAAACCAAAAGTAAAATAGGATTAATCTATCTCTATTCAGTTCCCAGTATGTCCCTAGATGCTTTTATGGCTGGCCTAGTTTGCAAGTCATTGTATTGTAGGGAGCAAAACCAAAAGAAACAGGGAAATCAGGGTATTAAGAAAAAAAAGAATGAGTCTTTACACTGAACAGTTAGAGAGATTTTAATGAAGCTTTCAAAGAAGATAAATATGACCACTTTTAAATTGCCTTCTCCTAGGCTGCATTTTGACTATGTAAGCACACTGCACAGTATTGTTATTGGTTGAGAGTGATAGAAAATTTCTAACAGGATATTGAAATAGAAAGTTTCTAACAAAAATAAACCCTAGCATTCCCAAGCACTACTTAAAAAAAAAAAAAAAAAAAAAGGAAAAAAAAAAGCAGGGAAAGCAGGGCTTTGCTTTTTTCAGCTAGGAAGAAATATGGAAAAAAAGTGCAGTGAAGTCTAGAAAAAAAATGTCCTGAGAAGTGGGACTGACAATGAGCTTTTGACTGACTGCCCAGAGCTGTGACTCTGTCTTCTCTGTTGCTTGGCAACTCCATGTTATCACAAAGAAACTGATATTAAGTTGGAACAGGCTGGATATGGTAATTTACGTGGGAAGATACTCTTGCAGTGGGAAAACCATTTTATTTCTAGTTTCTGTCAGCATAAGTAGGTTTCACATGATGAACTGTAGTACATCCCCTGTTGGCTGCATTTTACCTAAAAAGGTAAAGAGAGACTCTGCCTTGGAAAGAGACTGTGCAGAAAAAAAAAAAAAGAAAAGAAAACCAACAAAAAACCCCACCTTGTTATTTATTGGACTTGCTCCTGGTGTCTACTCAGACATTTCTTCCAGCGGCAGTGACAAAAGATTGTTTTCATACCTGTGTGGATCCAGTGCAGATTAGAAAGATGGAACTCGATTACTATCATTTGTACTATCACAGTCCCTAAGAGCTGTCAAGATTTGCTCAAGACCTCACTGTCTTATACAAACATTAAAAGATGATCCTCATTTACTCTAAATAGCCCCTGTTCTTTCTTTTGCATTGGCAATAGTTAAGTGCTAAGTTTCATCTACACTTTATTTCTTCCCTGCTGAAAGATGGGACTGCACATGTAGCAGTTACAGAATAATGTGAAGACTATGTTAGAAACTGTCACTCCACTTTGAATTTGGCTGGTAGTGTATGGCTGGGAAAGGACTCAATTTGTATTGAGGTGTATGAAGAGAATGGAGAGGGTATATATGTAAAGCAAATCTTACAGTGAAAGCTTTGAGCCACAAGAGGTACATAATCCATAATGGTGCTTTTATTTTTGGGTTTAGGTCTAAGTCCAATTTAGAAAAAGAGAAAGCACAGAAGATTTGTGATTTAATGCAAAGCCCTTTTTCTTAAATGTCTGGTTTACTCATAGATCTACTGAACCGCCACCACGGTATCTCTGCATTTCCATCCTGCGTCACTTCTAGCAATTTAATACCAACATGCAGTCCTACAAGTAAGGAAGTACTTCACAGGTCTTGAGGACTCCCTATTCTGGCTTTGGTCAGCAAAACACTCCTTGTCTCCAGGCTTCTCTCTACTGCAGAGTTAACTTGAAGTATAACTCAACTTTTGCCCTTGGCTCAAATCCCAACCATACACAAAAACTTCTGACTTGAGTATGCTTATGTTGTTCTGCTGAAGGGATTGGCCTGAACTGTCAGAAGGCACAGGCAGCAGTTTCAATTAACATAGCTAATACAGCTACCCACTGCTGCTCCAAGAACTTGTCTTCATTGCCAAAAAAGGTGTATTTTACTGTCGGGTAATTAGCCTGAATTAACTATCCTTATTTAAAATAAAGCCCTCCATCACTTTTCTTATGGTGAAGACATTGCTTCCCTATTAACTCAGAGTGTCCTCTTTTGCTGAGGCTAAGCTAACTGAAGAGGAATGAACTCTGCAATGAAAACAGCCCACAGTGTCCTAGGCATCAAATAGACCCACAGACTGCAAGCAAAGTCCTTTTCTGAACTGACTCATGGTGGGGAGGTGGCTTCTTTGCTCGCTTTTCATTTGGCCAGCACAGAATGTATCAGCTTGCATCCTATCTACCAAACTAATGAGTTTGTCTCCTTTTTAATTTACCACATCACCTCCAATAAATCCAAAAATGCTTTGGGCTGTTATCTGACTTGGAGGGGAATAATTACTGGACTGACTCCAGCCGCAAGCCTGGCTTAATTAAAACACAGTGTATTTCCCAAAAAGGTAGTGACCAATATTATTCTGAGTGCAACCTAAACCAACTTTACAACAGAATGGAACAGATGAACTTTGCTTTACCCTGAAGCTTTCAGTACTTAAACTGAGCTCCCCTGCTAAATCATAAAGAACTGATTTCCTACACCCCCTTACCACCACCAGCTAGTGGCTAACTTTACCCACCTTAACTGTTGTCTTTTAAGATAACAGCTAACACATACCACCTGTTTCTTAAGCCCTGGCATTAGGGTAACATAAAGCTTGCAGGCAGTCTCCCACACCTTATGTTCATTGCATTTGCTCACGCTGCAGAGTGTTTTCTATGCCAATGAGTAGCATCCTCTGGCTTGTGGATGATGCTACACTAATGGCAGCAAAGCTGTAGCACCTCATCTGTGTGGCAACAAAAATACTTCTACACTTCCTGTCATCTAGGGTTGGGTGTCTTGTTTTGTTTTGTAAGATTGAAAGTGTTGTTTAAACAGTTTGGTCACTATGATTTTATTAAGGAAAAAAGTAATTCCTTCCCATATTTTCTGTATGCAGTATTTCTCACTGGTGAGGAAAACCTGCTGATGTGTTGTTTTTTATTCTTGCATTTTGGTGAACACAGAACAAACAAGGGCACAAATGTGAGACAGACAAGGAGAAGTTAGGAGCGTGTACCCAGCACCTTTCAGGGGTACACTGGCCGAGCGAGAGGCACATCGACCAAGGGAGGGAGCAAAGCTCTGGGGAGTCATGCTGCAGGCACTAACCAAAGTAAGAGTTCCCTCCCATTGCGGCCAATTGGAGCTCTCTAATAGCATTGCTAGGAGCCAAGAGGAGTTCCCAGGACTGGGCAACTGCTGAAGCCACCATTCCTATCCTGCCCACTATGCTCATTAGCACCTGCAATTAGTTTCAGCTAGTCATAGTCTCAGAGAGTATTTAAAGAAGGGTTGGAGTAAGAAAAGTTTAATCATCTTTTTGTTTTCAGCACTACCTAAGTGTCTCATATAAGACTGGATGACTTAACAGGTGAGATATATAGTTTGCCACCTCCAAGATTATTATTTTATATCTGTCTCAGGTTTGTAATGACTGTTGGACTGAATTTGATCAAAAATTAAACTGAATTCAGAAGCACTATTACTGACTTATATTAATGTTGTGAAGTTAACTCTCTCAAGTCTTTTCTATAGTTGTGGCTTCTTGTTGACTTGCAAGGATTGGTACAGATATGAACTGAAAGGCAAATTAAAATAAGAAATAATAAGAGTAACTGAACTTTATTTTTGATAGTGGTAGTGGCATCAGCTCTGAAAATACAGCTGATTTCCTTTGTTCTAGTACCAATCCTAGCATGGGAAATTCCAAGGTGCATGTGTTTCCCTCTGGGTACAGAAGAACCACGGAAGTTGCAGGTGAATAAACAAACACATTTAGCCAAGGTGCAAAAGTGATTTTATGTGCTGAGAATGCAAAGTTAATTTAGAGGCTGGAGAGCAAGCAGATATGGGATTGGGAAGGTAGTAAATCTGAATTTTGAGTACTAAAACACCAGTGAATCACAAGACAACAGAGTAGGCAAATCTTCCAAATGTTAAAGAAAAAAGGCACAAACAAACATATCAGCAGAAACCTTTGCCCCCTCCAATAACACTGAGTATGACTCATGGTTTTGTGAATTTTGATGGGTGGTAGTACAAAATCTTTTCTACCATCTACTACTGATGGATGGTAGGTTTCTTGGTTTTAAAAATACTAAAACAGCTTGATCTCAAGTACCTTGGTTTAAAAATAAAGTTCTTTTTATAGCATGTCTTGATTTTGACAACCAAACTGTGCAGTAAATACTGGATTCCACATATGAGCACATTTCAAAAGCCTAAGCTAGATTCTTATTTTAGGGATAGGCTGATCTTCTGAGTTTGTGAAGTCCTTAGAAAGAGGACTCACAGCTGAATGTAATGGTTCTTTGCGTTTAAGCCCAAAGTTTGAGTTGGTTGTAGGTTCGCCTTTGAATTTAAAAATGCATTCCCTTGTTTGATAGCTTTTCTTAAATTTAATTTGTAAGATGTGTAAGTACTAAGTCATCCATCTTTCTGTGATGGTGACCCTGGAATAAATCTGCAGAAGTGAAATGCAATTGAATCTATAAGTCAAATGCTTTCTTCTTTGTATTGCAGAGCACAGATAACTCAAATATATCTATAATTGCTCAGAACAAAAGGTGCTTTGACAATGATATTGTTTGCTCGAAGAATGTGTTCATCACTGTTGGAGACACTGAGATTTATTTTAGTGAATCTTCTGAGAAGCAGGTTAGTTATTTTTTTTCCTTTTTGGGTTGCTCTTAACGTTAAACATTGTAAAGTTACAACTCTAAAGGAGCATGTTTTTGGAAAACATCTCTCAGTTTGAGTCACCATAGAGCTTAGGCCTGGATAAAAGAGCAGGTTGCAGGAAATATCTTATTTTTTCATTGTTTTTTTTTCAAGTTCTGCTCTACTAAGAGGCCTGCTCAAAAGCCTCAAGCAGTCAAAGCATATTGGCATTTGTTTCTTTCCACTTGGTTTTGAAAGGGAAACCAGAGTACAAAAACAAAGCAAATTGGAATGATTGAAAAGTCAAATTATCACAGTTTTAAACAACACTTCTACTAATATTACTTACTCACCTATGTGTTAAAGATAAAGATCTTAATAAATATTCATTTCTGTCAGAAGACCTTAAGGGGACAGGAAAACAGATCTAACTACCAGCTTTGGAAGGCTGGATATTATACTGTGATACACTTTCCAGAACAGGACATTACAATTCTGTGGGATAAGAAGACAATGATGCATGTTAAAGTTGGACCTCGATGGAAGGTGAGCCAGAATAAAAGCTGGAGATTTTGTGTAGTTCTTGGTGTTACTAATGTGATTTCATATTGGAAAACTGTGATTGTCTTTTCTTTGTTACTAAGTTTCCTGGTTACATAGCTGTTTGTCATGGTGCTTAGCTGCTGGCATTTCCCAGGTGAGAAAAGATGGAGGATGCGATGTAATGGCTGGACTCCTGAAGATAAGGGGTGGTTCCTACATGCACGTTTACTCTATTGCTCCACACATTGCAACCTTGCAAATATGCAGTGATTCAGCTCTGACCCAAAGTTACTTTGGGGGTGGGAAGAGAGGGTGAGTTTTGAGTTATACCCAGTTCACTGCATGTTTCTGTAGTTGCTGAGGCCAACGGAAAAGAAGCTTCTGTATCTAGTGACATGAAAGATGGCAGGTTTGTAGCACAGATTGGATTAAGCTGATGAGGGCACTGCACCCTGAGATGTAGTAGAGGCTGTTGAGATGAACAGATGGAGTCGCATCCTGAGTTTAAATTAAGAAAACAAGATATAGGAAAGGATCTAGACAAAACCTGACATTTAAACCTAGTAAGTACAGTGAAAGAGTTCAGCCACGATGCAGGGAAGAATATGAGGCTCCTTCTGTTGCCAGTTGCTCTTCTTTGTTCCATTCCTTCACTATCACCTGCCCTGGTGTCTCTGCAACTCAGTCTTTGGGTCCTGGCAGAGTAACCTTATCTGCACATTTGATGCTTATGTTCCTGCTTTGTCTCAACCATCAACACACATATTGAGAGGGGGCTCTTTCGAGTAAAGAAGGCATTTTATGGTAGAATACGATATCAATTTTTTTGACCTGTAAGTCAAAGTTACAATGACCATCTAATTTGGTTTTAAAGCAACATTATTATAGGCTTTTGTCCCAGTAGCTCACTTCACATACGAGCAGATTTATCAGCCATTAATACACTTAGTGTGAAAAAATTCTTCTGTTTTTGATTAAGTGAACAAGGAGCTGAGTTCTACAGGTTGCATGTAGGGGCACAAATACTTAAAGCTTTTTCTGTTTCCAATGACTGTTTCTTCCAGAGACTCCAGTTTGGTAAGATGATGTCTACAGCAGACTTTCAGGAAAAAGAATCCATTAGAATGAGCCACAGCACCCTAGAAATCCAACTCCACATTTTACTATTGTGCAGAAATATCGTTTTCTCTATGTATCTATATGTCTATACATGCATATGTACTTTTTCCATTGCTAGCACATGCCCCAACACACGAAAGTTGTAGCTGTCTCTTTTGTAACTGCTGTTACAAATGTTCTTGCTATTGTGAGCTAAAATTAGAGGCAGCAAGCTTTAATGACAACAACTAGTCAGGCTTCACAAACATAAGGTAATCCACCTGAACTCTTGATTTTTGGTCTGGATGCACTACTAAGCTTTCAGAAAAAAAAATACGACTAGATTCCAGTCCCTTTTCACATGCTGACAGTAAGAACAGATTCTGGAAAACAGGAAGGAAAAAAAGGAAAAAAATTAACTTCTATTAAAAATTATTCGCAATATGGAACTGCAAGCATAGCAGACTGTCAGATATTTTCAAAGTGTAAGTTAGAGTTGCATTCACCTTTTCCAGTTTAAGGATGTTTTATTCCACATGTCATTTTGGTACATGTAGAAAAGTAATCCTCCTTCTCTTTTAGGGTAAACTGGCAGGTTTGTGTGGAAACTTTGACAAATATACTTCAAATGATCTGACTACATCAAACAACATGGAGGTGAGAAATGCACAGGTGTTTGGAGACAGCTGGGTATTAGGACAGGTAAGTCCCATGTCCAGTAAAAATTTATAAAAAAAGGATGATAATTTCTAAATGAACATGTAATAAGCACATGATGTACAGGGATTTCTCTAAATTCATTGTCAGTGTATAAGAGGAAATTTTAATTTTTATGTCTGTGGATGTGAAATGTGTTAATAATGTCTTATGTCATAACAAACATATACTGCTTTTAAATAAAACCAAACAAACTCTGGGGAAGAATATATTTTTCTTTATATAAGATAATTATCATAGCTGTCAGGATTTCAGTTTTCTAAAAAGTTATTTGTGTTCCTTCTGATATTTTGGATTTGACCCAATTTCAAAAACAACTGCCTCCTCTGGTGTTGGAGACATCAGGATCTTGAAAGTAAATAGAGTCTGAACTCTGGAAAAAATGGTCTAGAAAAAGGTTTCTTTCTGAACACTGAGAAAAAAATTCATGATTTCTTTTAGTTGCAGTCTGTAAACAGAGAACAAACTGATGAAGCAGTGGTCAGGAAGGGATGAGACAGAAAAGGTTCAGAACAGCAACAGGCACAACCCAGTATGGAAACTTGGTTTCTGAGGAGAAGGGAAGAGGATGTAGAGAGTGGATGACCACAACTGTGTTTTATAGCACAAGAGAATAGGTATTTTACTGATTTGTGCTGAGAAGATGGAACATTTTAAAGCCTTGTGAATCTCCTGGAAAATCAGTATTTGTAAAGCACTCCCTTAAGATGTCTGTGAGAATCATTTTTTAATCTGTTCCCTTCTTGACTCACAGCAGGAAATTGAACCAAAATCTCTCACCTCACGAAAGAATATTATATTTATTCTACTTTGGAGTAAAGATTTTGGGACTTCTTTTCCTCAATATCCCCCTTTGGTTCTATTTTGCTCTACATAAAATGTTTAAATTATGTGAGCAAGCAAGGAAAACATGTAATGTTGGTGATTATACTGCTCATCTAAAAGGTGGTACGTAAGGAAATATGTAAATACTTTATATGGAGTGTATGAATTTTTCTTTTCCAATGTATCGGTTCAGTGTCTTCTTTAAAAAAGTGTGTAGTGTTTGCACAGCACATTAACTTCTAGAATGTTATGATCTTTGATTATGCAGCCCATACTTGCACTTGCCTTTTTGTGGCCATATATATTTTTTTTTGTAATTTTTTTTTTTTTAGTAAAATCTCATGTAATCTTCTGTTTGGCATCGCAGGCAGCCTGTGCTCAGCCAGACTTGACACTTCATCTGCCTCCGCAGTAGGTGCTAGGGATTTTTTTTTTTTTTTCAGAAAGGACCTTTGGCTTGGTCATCTTTTTTGCAAAATCTAAATACTGTAAAGGGATATTTGATAGGTGGAGGCCTAGAACCCAACGCTGCTACTGGCAAATGTTCTTGCCTTGGCAGTCTGAAGCGTGGGAAGTTTCCAGGGTTTCTTGCTCCTGGGAGCGGCAGCACGTTTCCCCATGGCAGCATCCGAGCATCCGTGTAGGAGGGCAGCAGAGCTGGGTGACTGCACTGCAGCTGAGGCTGCTCTGGGACACCCCAATGCTGCCTGTGGATCTACTGTTACCTCCTCCTGGGCTTCCCTGCTGCACCAAAGGGAGTATGGTTTTGGAGGAACTTGTGTTTTCTGAGCTGAGTGTTGCTTTGTGACATCTTTCTGCTAGTTTGTTTTTCTTGCTAAAGAGAGACTTTAAGAGAGGGAGTTATATCTCAGCCATTTTTGAGTTATCGCGATGATCTTTGACTCTATTCTTTTTTTTTTTTTATGAGTTACTCTCTTCCTACCGCTGCTTCTTTATTGGAAGTTACAGGGCTAAAGCCATCTGTAGTACGACTCCATTTAAAGTCACTGCAAAACCACCAGGGATAGATTTGGACCATGTATTTGTTTGTGATGTTACAGTTGGTTGCTCTGGTAATGATTATAATGTGTCACAAAGAAAACATTTTGTCTTTATGCGTTGAGCAGACAGCAGGAACACTTTAGTACTTCAGAACAAAACACAAGGATTCTTTTTTGTGCAAATGTTTTCGATTATAACAAATCAGGGAAAGGGGAAGATGAAGAAAATAGCATTTAAACATAATTTTGTTTTCTGAGTATGCAGGTATAGTGCACCTGAGTCCATGGTAAACATACCTCCATATAAAATGTTTGTGGTATTTTTTCTTGTTTTTAAGTGCAAGAGCCCAAATGAAACACTAAGGCCATGTGAGGTACATCAGAGCAAGTTCCCTTATGCCAAAAAGGAATGCTCAATTTTATACAGTGATGTTTTTGCACCTTGTCGCAATGTGGTAAGTTTATTAAATATCCAAGATGCACTCTCAAGTAGGAAAATATTAAAATTCCAGTAATTAATTTCTTCTTGCCACTCTCCTCAGTCTGAATACTGTGGAGATTACGGAGTAGAGCCCTGCAAGTACTTCTACATGGGTGGGCTATGTTTACGCAGAGCTCTTCGTTCCTTTCAAGACTGGAGCCTAAACATAATAGTGATAACTGGGAGCCATGAGTTAGTAGACTGGATAATCAAGGTTCTGTTCTCTTTAGGTTTTATTTATATCCTTTATTTATATAGGTAACTTAATTTTTAAGATTTTTGTATATATTGCAGGATTCTAAAATAAGCATTTGTGTAATGTACCTACAGCTTATCTCAAACTGTTTTGTTTTGTTAACTGTTCTGCTCAGTATAGAAAGAAAGATGAGAGTGAGATTTCAGCTTCAGAGCTATCAGGATTTTTAACTGGCTGAAAGCTTAACATCTGCTTTTTATCAAAACTCTGAGGTATGGTGTCCTTGTTTTCCCAATACCTGGCTGAGCCTGGGATTTGAGTTACAAGAATGTCTTAAGTTCATTCTAGGTGAGATGGGTACAATAGCTTGTCTGAGAATCTTTAATTCCATTTTAGGGCACCTTCTATCAACATAAGACATGCTCTACACAATTTTTCCTATTTCTGATTTTAGCTTCCCACTGGTATTTAGTTATCCAAGATGTTTCTTTACACCTGTGCAAGCAAGACCCATTATGATATTTGGTCTCAGTCTCTTATTTTCTTTATGGCTATTAATACTAAATGAGATCATTAGATGTCCCAGCTGAACCTCCTGACTTTCAGGACTGAAGTTTGATATCAACATGCTTTGGAATTTGCCTGAGGAGGAGGTTGTAGTAGCTTAACCCGAGAGATTTATTAATGTTAACTTTAGTTACTATGTAAAGAATTTTTTGAGCATGTGCCTGAGAACATAGTGATGACTGCATTTTCGAAGTAGAAAGTAATAAATAAAAATGGAACTTTTGAGAGTTTTTAAGGAGCTGTATTATAATAACTCATAAAGAGAGATACTTCCTCTTGAACATTCATTTTCTATATCTTATCCACGTTGTGATTAAAATTTGCAAACACTATGCCAAAAATTTAGCATAATTATGTTAAAAAATGCATGTCAGGTACAAAACATGTCATTTAATTAGGAGTTGAGTATTTTCACATGCACATATCTGTCCTGTATGGGACAGCCTGTAAAACAAGCACCTTTCAGGTGCTTTTACGACCTATTTGTCAACATGTGAAAATATGACTCTTACAAATGTAATATAAAGTGACTTCCTGTCAAGGATATCTGCAACTGACCAGCTGCATGGGTGGGGAACTGGGTACTGAGGGGAAAAGTCCAAGCAGAGACTGACACTGGGGGCATAGAAGAAACAGAAAGTGGTGGTGTGGATTTGAGGACATTCTTGAAGCAGCGCTTTTACAGTTGTTCCTGTTGGGCAGGTGGTGGAGGGTCCTGTTGTCCATGGAGGCAAGCTCTTGCCTATGGGACAGGTGGCCTCAGAGTTCAGCTGAGGCTGGAAAATCCCGTTTTTAGGGAGACAAAATCTTGCATCAGTGGTTGGCAGTGACTGATGGATTGCAGTTGCCTGGCTGAGCGCTGAACTTAGCAGGAGCTGAGAAGCCTTCACGCTCACAGAAAAAAAGGGTCTTCCTTATAACTGCTGAACTCAGCAGGAGCTTTGACCTGAGGCTCTCAGCTTGTCACAACATCAGGATGTTGCTGACCTATGGAGAGATGCTGTCCTGCAGATATAAGAGACGGGTTCTGCTCTTTGGAGCCAATCTGCTGTTTGGTGGTTTCTGTGAAGTTATTACAGCCATTTTCAATGGAGCTAATACTTGTGCCTCCCACTCCAGGGTATCCCTGTTTTCAAAATAAGAAAAACAATGAAAGCAAAATGGCATCTCTCACCACTGAAGACAGAAAGTCTTCATATCTTTGCCAGCTTCTAGCAAGTGCCAGCTGAAAAGCTGTCTCCATGCTAGATAAGTGCTGCTTTATTACTGTGATGGTATTTCTGTAAACTGACAAGTGCCATTTGAGGGCTCTACAGCTGAGCTAGACCAGAGTCTAAAAATGAGTTTTAACCAAAGAGAAGCATTGCTTTATACATTCCATGTGTTGAGTAAGAACACTATTTTAGAAATGTTGCTCAACATTACAAAAAAGATGATTATGACCTAAGAAATAACGTATCACGTAAAACCATGAAATAATGTGATAGGATTTTAGAGTGGGGAAGTGGATTTCTGATCTAATTAAGGTTTGTGACATTCTGCAAAATGTCACCAGTGTGGTCAAGCTTTCTTTCTCTTACAAAAGCCCCTCTACAAATTATAACTTTAATTATTTGATACTCAGAGCTGCAGCTCTAACTTTATTGTTCATGCAAAACTGACAGGATGACTATAGATGGCAGCAGTTGCTTTATAAATACACAGAAATGCCAGCTTCAATGTCCTCTCCAAAACTGATGAACAGCAAGTGTGTGGACAGACAAACTTGTTAATAGTCACTGAATGAAAATTTTCTCTTGGCCTATAATAATAATAGGTACAAGCTGATCATTTAAAGCATACTTTTTGTATAGGAATGTACCCAAATCTTAGGAAATGCCTTATTTCTGTGTTAAGTTCTTTCAGACAATCCAGAGGTAGCACTCCTGCTGAAAATGGAGTGATAAGAATTTGTACAGCTCATGCAATTAATTTACCAGCCCTGTTCCTTTTTTTTTTTCTTTTTTTTTTTTTCCCCCCAGATTGATGTGACTTCTTTCGTCAAAAATTGTCACACAGACACGTGCAACTGCAATCTTGGCGGGGACTGCGAGTGCTTGTGTACCAGCATTGCAGCTTATGCCCACAAGTGTTGCCAGCAAGGAGCAGCCATTCACTGGCGATCTCCTTCCCTCTGTGGTACGTACCTGTGCTGGCCTCACGCCCGAGCTCATCCGGGGTACCTTCCGACTTTCCCTGCCCAAATATGACAGAAGCAGGTGGATAATAAATGTACTACTTCACGTTTTTCAAACTGTCTTTATTTTAGCTGTTAGTCTTATATATTGAGATTTGCTGTCTTACTCAAGAGTACTGCCTGTGTTCAGGGTATGCCAGTATGGGGGCCACTGGAAAGGCACTGGTGTACCAGATCTGGGGTA